CTGCAGCCACTGCGTGTGCTCCGGGTGCCGCGTGTTCCTGAGCAGGACCCGCCTCTGGAGGTGCACCGTGTGCTACGAGGGCAGGTGAGGATGCGGGAGTCCTGGGCGGTGGCCCGAGACAAGCCTCAAGGGCAGTGGGCAAATGTTTTGCAGAGCGAACTTCTGAGACTTGGAGGTCACCGTAATTCAGAATCCATTGGATTGCCCTGGCGGGTGGCTCGGTTCATTGGAGTGTTGTCCCGCGCACTGAAGGGCTGTGGGTTCGAATCCCTGTCAGGGCACATACCGAAGTTGCAGACTTGATCCCCAGTTGGGCCTTATAAGGAGGCAACACATCCATGTTTCTCTCCCTCTTCTCTCTCTCGTCACTAAAAACATATCTTCTGGTGAGGATTAAAAAAAGAAGAAGAAGAAGAAACGGGTATGCTTTCCATTCGTGATAGACTGAATCTAATGTATTTTAATCTTTTGGTGGTGTGAGGTTTTAAGCATTTTTTTATTTATTATGGAATTGGTATTTTTGAACTATCCATTTTGAAAATGGTAAACAACATGTTGGGCTTGGGCTCCCACTGTTCCAAGCAAGAATGGGTTGGTCGTGTGTCCTTGCACCCCCACGGGAGTGTGTTTCCAGTGGTTGGGGGACAGCGTGCATCAGGCCGGCACGGGCCTTGTGGGAAGGGAGTGTGTCTGCTCTGAGCCCAGGGGTGGAGGCGGCGGCCCGGAGACCTGAGACCACTTCTCGCTCAGCAGTCGCCAGCCCGCTCGCTCAGTGTGAATGTGGCGGCCGGATTCCCTCTCCCCTAACTCAGCAGGGCTGCTTATGGGCGCCCTGGCACGAATCTCCCTAAATTTCCAGTCCCTTCGCAAGGCCTGATGCATTTCAGTCGCTCACCCAGAGAAAAGTGCAGCCGCCCCACCCGATGTCTGTGGTCCTGAGCGGCCGACCTCCCGTCCCTCCCGTCTCCAGTACCGACTCCTACCAGACCCACCTCCACGCACCTCAGGTTTCCTGGGTTCGTGGGAGCCAAGCCCTCCGGGCTTCCCTCGGCTCGAGAGGAAGAAGCAGAATCACTTCGCGCCGCCGGCCGCACCTGTGCTCGCTCCTGCAGGTCTGGGCTCTCAGGAGGGTAGGTGGCAATTAATTCCAAAAACGTCTCCAGAGATCGAACGCTCTTCCTCCGTTTTAATCAACCACAGACATTGATGTCTAACGATAAACATGGCGTGGTAAGGCATTAAGTTCTTCAGCAATTTTCTCCTAATAGTGAACTAGAAGCAAAAAGTCAAAATGGGGGGATGGGGCTGAGCGGCCGCCCAGGCGCTGGCCGTGTTGAAATCTCGGCCCCAGTGTCAGGCCCTGGTGTTGAAACTCTGCCCTCTAAGGACACCAAGTGTGATTTCTATAACCCCAGCTTCCTTCTTTTGAAATAAAGATGTTTTTCAAAACACCTAAGATAATTGCATTGCCCTGTGTGAACCGACACAGGTGCCGTACGGGAGAGCTAACTCATTTCTAACATCTGTGCCCCCTGCCCCCCCGCCCCTTTCTCTTTGCTACTTTCTTCAAAACCCTCTGCTCTTGCTCTGGTTGGTCCACTCTGGGCTGCTGTCCTCTTTCTCTCTTTTTTTTAATTCTCACCTGAGGCTATGCTTTTCAATAAGAGAGAGAGGAAGAGGGAAAGAGAAGCATCGATGTGAGAGAGAAACATCGATCGGTTGCCACAATCCGCAACCCGGGTATGTGCCCTGACTGGGAATCAAACCCACAGCCCTTTGGTGCACGGGATGGCCCTCTAACCACTGGACAACATCGGCCAGGGCATGGCCACGCAAAGAGAAGGCCTGGTAACCCTTTAGAACCGTGGTCGGCAAACCGCGGCTCCCGAACCACATGCAGCTCTTTGGCCCCTTGAGTGTCGCTCTTCCACAAAATACCACGTGCGGGCGCGCACGTACAGTGCGATTGAAACTTCGTGGCCCATGTGCAGAAGTCAGTATTTTGTGGAAGAGCCACACTCAAGGGGCCAAAGAGCCACATGTGGCTCGTGAGCCACGGTTTGCCGAGCCGCAGTTTGTCAACCACCGCTTTAGAACATTTGACATTCGTAACTGAACGGGGGCCTGGAGGCTGGTTTGAGCCCCGTCTGCTTCTTCCTCGGCCTAAGTCCTGCTCCCCGAGAACCAGTGGGTCTGTGGGCACCAGACGAGGGACATCGCATTTTAAAACCAAGGAAGGAGAAGCTCTGGGACAGCAATTACAAAGAAGCAGCAGCAAACCCAGCTCGCAGGAGCTGCAGCCAGTGCAGGCGAGTGCCGGCCTGGCCGGGGGCGTCCGGGGGCAGCGAGGACCCCGCCTTCAGGGTAGGTGTCCTCAGGGGACCGCAGAGCAGCCCTGGCTGCAGCGCTGCGGGGAGAGGCCCGAATGAGAGGGACAGACACCGTCGGGAGAGGAGACACATGGAGTGACAAGGACCGCCCACCACGGCGAGGGCGGGCGAAGCGCTCCTTGTCCTTGGCGCCGACTGTCTGTCTTAAACCTGGAGGCGGTCTCCTGGGGGCAGCCACTGCTGTGATCCTGTCTTCCAGGTGAGGACACAGAGGCTTGGAGACACCAGATAGTTGGCCCATGGCCATGAGGTCAGGAAGACTGGGACCCGGGCTCCCGCGTCCCATCCCCTCTTGCCTCCGCCCTCTCCTGTCTGCGGGGAGCTCCCCCTCGAGGGCAGGGTCTTCAGAGCCGCCCAGAGAGCTGTGCTCGGGGACATAAGGGCTTTGCCGGAGGAAAACCAGGAGAAGGGGGCTGTGGGGCCAGGCGGACTCGGGAGGGGAGATAAGGGAACAGGCCACGTGGAAGTCCTGGTAGTGAAACCAGGCGCGAGGCGATGAGGCCGGTGGCGGTAGTGATGACAGACAGCCCGGCCGGTGTGGCTCAGTGATTGAGCATCGACCTATGAACCAGGAGGTCATGGTTCGAGTCCCAGTCAGGGCACATGCCTGGGTTGCGGGCTCGATCCTCAGTGGGGGGCGCGCAGGAGGCAGCCACTCGATGATCCTCTCTTATCATTGATGTTTCTGTCTCTCCCTCTCTCTTCCTCTCTAAAATCAATAAAAACATTAAAAAGAGAGAGAGAGAATATGACAGACAGTTCAACAAAGGGGTGGTGGAAATGAGTTATGGGGGTTAAAAGCGGGAGCCACACCGCCATGGCCAGCAGGCTGCGCCAGCCCAAGACCTTGTTTCGTTGGCCTGTGAATGCCTAATACTTATCGTCTCCATGTGGAAACCGTGTGTGGGTTCTCCGATTGGCCACGGCGCCCACCCCTCCCTGCGGCCTCACACCCAGCCGCTCTCCTCACTTCTAGCTGCTGCCGGGGGCCGAGTGTGTGAGCGGCCAGCACGTCCGAGGGCACGATGCACGGGAGACCTCGGCGCTGTCTCAGGCTCCCCCGGTGCAGGTCCCACCTGATCCCTCCGGTTCCCGGGTGTCCCTGCCCCTGGGGATGTCATTCACTCCCCAACCCACACGCACTTCCTGGCCCGCCACGGGCCTCCATCATGCTTGGGGCTGTGACTCTCGCCTCTCCGAGGTCAAGTGGGGGAGAGTTATCAGTGCTTCGCACGAAGTGGGGGTGGCAGCCTGATGAAGTCGTTTCTTTATCTTCATCTCGACGTCCTCACTCCGCTCCCGGTTACCTAGGATTTAATCATCGCGATCAGTCTGTTTTCCTGTGAGAACGTTGAAATCAGATCGACTGGGCTGGTGCAGAAACCTCACTTGTGCTTTGTAAGTAAAAACCATCTTAGACGCAAGAAGTGAAACGATTTTCGCGGAAAGCACGCGGGACCTTGTTAGCTGGGACTCGCCCAGCAGCTGGACAGGCTGGCAAAGCAGTTGGTTGATCTCAGGTTCGCAGTGAACTCCTTCCCCGGGAGTTTGGCAGCTTGTCGGTCTGACGAGCCAGGGGCTGGAGGCTGCTTTGCCATCAGGGCACTGGGGGGAGCTCAGGCCACGCGGGAATGTGCCGCTTTAGCCGCTTGAGGAACCCTGACTGCACAGAGCAGCTCCCACCTCTGCCTGTTGGGTGGAGCCACCCAGGGTCATCACGCTGACATTTCTGGAGCAGGAAGTAGGGACAGTGTCGCCTCCTTCAGCTGTGACTGACCGGGGTGCCAATACACGCGCTCCGGCAGGCCTGCTCGGCCCCCTGCCGGCTGGCAGTGACAAGGTCAGACCCGCTCGGGGTTGTCCGTTCGCTGTGAGCGTCTGTGTGCTGGAATTAGCAGAGCGCTTTTCAGCAGCTACTTCGCAGGTGCTCATGCAGTGACAGCGACCGCAGAGCTCCAGGCCCCCCAGGAGTTGATGAGGGTGAGCGTCTGGCTGGAATTAGCAGAGCGCTTTTCAGCAGCTACTTCGCAGGTGCTCATGCAGTGACAGCGACCGCAGAGCTCCGGGCCCCCCAGGAGTTGATTAGGGGCGTCTGTGCACTGGCGCTCGTGGTTATAATCACAGTGACCTGAACGCAGTTAGTGGAAAGGCCAGACCCCGAAAGAACTCAGGTCTCCTGGCCTCTGTCTTCCAGCC